TCTCTGTAAGTGAAAAGCAACGCTTTTCCTATCGTCTTGAGCCCAGACGCCGCGCAAGGACAAGTCTGCGGAAGCAGAGATGCGATCCGGAGCTGGAACACCAGCGCGTGTAAACCAAGGTCACGGCTCCGGCTTGCGCACCGTCCCGCGGGGACCGGGAGCCCGAGCAGCGCTGCTGCTCCTGCGCCGCCCCTGCTCCGCTGGTGCTCGAGCGCCATCTGCTGGGCGCTGAGCCGTGACTGCGGTCCCGCTTCGTACCGGCCCCAAAGGCTCCTGGGGAGGGAACGGGACGGGGAAAGCGCGCAGGGGGCACGGGAGGGACACAAAAGAAGTAAAGAAATACCCAAATAGCTTTTATCCGCGGTGACGCCTTCCTCGCTCATTTGTGGTTGTTTCTGTGGCCTCAGCAAGTGCCTCTGGGCAGGACCAGGCACCCGCAGTACTTCCCACCACAGCTCCTCGTCCACGTACCCACGCACAGCGCTGGTTTTCGGCACAGACCCTGCAGCACAGGCGCGGATTTTAACAGTCAGAAACACAGGAGGCCAGCTGGAGCTACAGACTCGACACGCCAGCCGAAGATGCCTTTCCTGTTCCGACAAAACAACCCTTCCAGTGAGGAACGCGTCTCTCGAGGAACGGCTGGGTCCCCCATGTCCCTCCTGAGCGCCCCCTCCGCCCCGGGGACAGGGAAACTGAGGAAGAAGAGGAGGCTGCAGCGCGGGCTGGCAGCACCAGCAGACACATGGGGTGGCTGAGGGACCCCTGCTCTCCTGCAAATGACAACGTCCCTCTGTCAGCGCTCCGCACGCTGCCCCACAGCAGGAGAAGGGGACAGCGTGAGGCACCGGTCTGCAAGGCAGCAGAGCTGCGGTCACCGTCAGACCCTGCGCTGAAAAAAGAGATCTGCCAGGTTTCCTGACAGGGTTTGTCATCGCCGGGCACTGGCTCCCAGCAAGTGTCCAGGCGCCTACAGCAGGGTCTGCTGCGCCTCAGTCCTACACAGAGCTTAGTGAGGGACATGACATAACCAAGAGATGCTCATGTCACTATCTGCAGCTACAAAGGAGAGGGCATTTCTTAAGAGGACCAGAAAAGTGGTTTAGGTGCACTTGGAGAGAGACACAGGCACTCCAGAGCCAGACAACACACAGGAGAGAAATCCAGATCTACAAATTACTTTGAAAGCATAGTTTTCCACAAATGAGGGCAACTCACTTGAAACAGCATGAAATGCTTCTTCAGCGTTCTTGAATCCCAACCGCAGCATTCAGGTACTAAAAAAGAATGACATCTCACACACAACACACAGGGGATTGAAGCAGGGACATGAACCACGCAAACCAGGGAGTCCCCTTGATCCCATCTCCCTTCTTGCAGGGGAATGTTGAAACCTCAGTCACGAGTACAGCACAGCTCCTGTCACCTCCTGCTCTCCATGAGGATAAACACCTTCAGAAACATCAAACCCCCTTTTTAGGCACCAAAACACACATCTGGGAACCTGCAGCAGTTATTCTATGTTCTTGAATCAGCACAAAGCTTCTGGCACACATTTAGCCCTGAAAAGGCACCGTGGGGCCAGAAAAGGTGCAGGGCTGGGTGTCAAGAAGGATGTGTGGTACCCACCAACTCCCACATAAGGAGCTCAATAGACCTCAGACGCTTGAGCCTAGAACAGAGACAGGTGACAGAGCAGAAGTCTATAAACTTGCAGACAGCAGAGAGAAGCCAAAGCAGGGGCCATTACTCACCCTTCCGCGGTATCGGGATGATGGATGAGCCAGGGATGCTTTCAGGCAATTTAGAAAGCAAACAGGAAGCGCTTTTTTCACCCACACATAATTAAGTTGTGGGACATATTGCCACAGGATGCCGTGAAGGTCAGGAGGACAAATGGACTCTGAACACCATTACACAAATTCACCAGATGTAGTTTATCTGTGTCCATTAAGTCCAGCGCTGGGCTCAGAGCCCATGTGCTGCTCACAGCTGGAGACTGGAGCACATCAGGGCACAACCGCTCAGTGGGGATGCTGCTTTGTGCCTTTTCCCTGAGTTGCCATCCACATTCCCCCTGGCAAAGCCACCAGCCCTGGGGCTCCCCCCTAAACGCCATCATCCCCCCTGCTGCCCAATCCAGCCAGGATTTTTTCCTCCTGCTCTGCAGTGCTGCTGGTTTTTCTTCTGAAGGGCATGAGGAAGAGGAGAGGAAGCAGAGGTGACCAAAGCCAGAACACAGCCCCCCAAGACAGCAAACTAAATACAGTGCTTTAATTCTAGAAATAATTCTTTAGGTCTTTAATTCTAGCTCAGCAGCCTTTGACACACAGGGACAGCACCGAGATGGGGTGTGAGAATTGTGTGGTGCAGTAAAATGAAAGTGAAAATAAAGCTTGCATCTGATTTTTTGGGGTTTGGATTTTATGTGCTTGTTGTTTGTTTTTTTTCTGCTTTTTCTTTCTTCTTATTCTTCTTCCTAGGAAAATCCCACTGCCAATGAAGTTTCCACCAGGGAAGCACGGAGCCAGGTTCCCCGCCATGCAGCTGCAGACGTGGCTGTGTGTGGTGAGGAGTTGAACCGCTTCCTTGTGCCGGTGCCAGACAGGGGCACCGTTACTCTCCATCTGCTCCAAAAACACTTCCTTTGCTCCTCCCCGCCTCCCTCCCAACGGAGCCTTTGAGTGGATGTGCCCGAGGAAAACCAGCCCAGGGCTGTGCCTGAGGACTGGCCCCGGGGCTCAAGAGGGCAGGGGGATGCTGGAGCATGCTTTGCAGCCACTGGGAAGCTCTCCAGAGGCAAGCTATAAATTGGGCAGCTCCAGAGACCTCAATCATTTTACCTGTAATAAAATTCACACTTTCCAAAGGGGAAAGCCCCTCCGAATGGCTTCGGTCAAACCAATCCTGCAGGACCTCTCAGCTCAGGCGCAGGCTCAGACCCAGGTCTCAGCCCAGAATTACACAAAGCCCACCCAGCCACATGCCCAGAGTGCCGCCACTGCGCCTCAGGAATGGAGGTGCAAATACAAATGATTGGTTTCCACCTCCCCTGTTCCTTTTTGGACCCATGCCTTTTCCAAGCTCCTTTCCCCATAGCCAAGTTTCACTTTTCAACAGAGAAGTGTGACAAAAAGGACCTGGGTCCAGCATAAGTTAATTCTACAAACATGTAACAGTTTCAATAGTCTTGAGTAGCAGTGCTCAGACTAAGGCTCAACAACTCATCATTACAATAAACCCAGTTTTCAGTTGGAGGTAAAAGGAGCACCAGAAGATTTGAAGTTTCATCTTTCTGCATCTGTTGAAAAGCCACCAGGATCTTCTCTCACCTGCTTATCCCCTGGAGCGCCCTTGCCAACCCTACAGTGCAAGAAGTCAGGAAATAAAGCCTCTTAGTCATCACAGGTTGATTAAGACGGCTTAAAATTTGAACTTTAATTGAAACGGAAAGAAACATTCCAAGAGGATATATGTTTTATAGATTTAACCAAGTTACCAAATTTAGTTTTCATTGGATGTTATTGCAAAAATGAACATTAAACCGTAAGCGCCGAATAGGAGAGAACTCAAAAAAAAAAAGATAACACCTTACCATATCAGAAGGGATTGGACCAAATGCTTTTGTAGGCAACTATCCAAATGTGCAACGCACAGACACGTTAGCTCATAAGATGTAAGGACATCCTTGAATTCACCTGAGCAAACCTCCGGGGACTGACTACATCAACATTTTCCTGGCAAGTATCTCCTCTGCCAGCAATAGATCCCAGCTCAATACATATCTAAAATGATATACATTAGAGGGCACATGATTAAGAGTATTAAGTCAGCTTAAATTACTTGAGCAAAATTTTAAATATGTAATAGAAATCTAAAAAGAAAAAAAATTGAGAACACCACTGCAATATTAATGCCAAGTTGTTACTTTTTTTTTTTAAACAGATCTGTACAGCAACATAGCAAAGAATGCAGTGATCACAATTCAAACCAGACAGCAATTGAAGGGAATGCTAATTCTGTATACAGCAGAGCTGAAACACTCCCAACATTCAGATGCTCCAAATACATTGGCTACCCTAATGCACTCCAAACCAGTTCTACCTACATAGGACATTTTGGTGTGAAAAAGTTTCTGTAAAGTTCCCTTTGTTTCCAGTGTTTTTCTTGTACAAAATATTACATTTTTTTTAATATATATTTACAGACTTGCACAGCTAGAAAAATATAAACTACAATTGGGCTTGGCAATCAATTCTCTTCTTTAAATACATGATGTTTCAGAGCAAAAAACTGTAGTGGTAACATATCCTGCACTTCAAGCATCTGCACAGAGCAGCTTTCTTCCTCAAGCACACCAACCTAAAAACCACGACTGCAGTCAGACATTTGCCACATTAAGTGCAATGACTGCAATTCATCTGCCTCCTGGCATAAGGAAGACACAAGATGAATGTTGTTTGTGCAGGTTAGTGGCACAATATAGGAAAATCCATAACCGAACATTAAATTCCTTAATAGTGTTCATTAATTTCATAGGCAGAGCATGTTATAAAAGGACAATGTAACTTGTAGGAAAAGCAGACCCCAAGTTCATGGGGAACTTGAACAAAAATGCAGCCACAGTGAACGTTTCAGGGACATCTGCTAGCTTCAAGCAAGCCCCAGTGTTTTAAGGTCTTTTTCCATTCAACTTTTGAGCAGAGGCCAGGGAGGAGTTGGGGTTTTTTTTGTTGTTGGGTTTTTGGGGTTTTGTTTGTTTGGTTTGTTTTTGTTTTTTTTTTGCTTTAAAGCTACAGTATCTGTCATTATGGCTTTTAACACCCCGCCTTTCACTGAGATGAGGTACACGTTTCTAGTGACACCGTAACAGTTGAGCAAAACGAGTTTCAGTGGACCACAGAACTCTGCACACAGGTGTAAACAGGTTTGCTTATGAAAGGTTGCCAAACCGAATTGTAACAGTGCAAAACAAGGTTTCTTCTTTTCTTGTCTTTGCAGAAAGAGTTGTTGTGGCATCTAGGACGTTGCTAGTAGTCAAGCCACTGAGCAAATCCTCTTTCCACCAGAGTTCTGTTTATCGACACCACCTAAAGGGAGGTGAAAAGTAGAAAGGTGAAAAAACCACATCAGCAAGTTCCTAATCAAGAGTCTGCATAATCAAACTTTTAACGGTGTTGGAAGAAGAAGTACGTCAACATACGTACCTCATCTCCCATCAAGTTCCACAGCTGTATCAGCGGCAGACCTGTTGCACTGTCATAATTTGTGACCTGGAAACAGAAAAATGTTAGCATGCAGCAATTCCAGCCTGAGCCATGGAGGACACCAGGCTGGCATCATTCACCGTGTATCTGTGCTGGTTTGAGGGTTAAACCATGACAACATCAGATGCTCAAACTGATGTGGAGGCCAGAAGAAACGCAGCAGTGGACGCCAGGCAGCAAAGACAGGCGAGACTGGCAAAGCAGTGCAGATCCAGATGAATACGTGACCCGCTGGACAACAGCCCCCCTCGTGCTCTGTAAACCCCTTCAGGTGCTCCCCTCCCTGCTCATGTCAGTGACATGAGGGAATAATCGACCCTGCCCAGACACACGGTCCTGAGTGGTGCTGACACTTCCCAAGGAAGCTCTCAGCACCACAGTTTCTCAGGGAGAACCCTGCCCACAGTCAGGCTTACGGGCTCTGGTGTTGGTTTTGATTTTAACCCACACTGCGTGCTGGGGGCAGAGAGAACTGCAGTCAAATTGACAGGAAGCCTTTTCCAGACAGCTTTCACGTACCTGCGCCACGAGGACTGCCCCTCTGGTCATCTCACTAACGGCAGCATCGGCTTCAGATGAAAAGCGATCCTCGTCTTTGGACAGAAAAGAGCAGGAGAAAATAAATGAGGGACTCACAGACTTTACAGGCCAGAAGGGCCTATTAAGCTAATCTTGGCTGACCTCCTACAGAAGTTAGGTCAGAGAATCCTCACCTACTGTTGCTCTAGGTGTTTCCTGAAACCAGCCTATTAAGCTAGAGATCATACAAGTGTTAGGCCTGCTGTGTTGCTGAAGGGAAGGACAAAGTGCTTTCTAGCCAAGTTAATGTGAACTTAAGTGGCTGATGAATTAGGAGGCTTTAAAAGACAGAAAAGTACTTCTGCAGTGCCTTTGAGCTGTCATCAGTATTTTGATCCCTAATAAACTGAGCTCAGGAGTCTCAGGACTTTCCTGACCCTGCACAGAGTGCAATACTGTAAATGGGAACTCAAAAGCATTTACACCGCAGGCTGGCACCTGAATGGTGCCAAACGCACTCTTTGCAAATCAGGCTTTCCCTTTTCCATGCAGGAAAAAGCCTGGACATTTGTCATCTTTCCTCTGCAGTCTGACAGGTTATGCCACGCTAGCACACTTAGAAAAATAAAATACATTTTTTCCCCATCCTTGCTCTAATCACATCAGAGGTTGTGTTTTCAATAGGAAAGAGAAGGTTTAGCCACAATCATTGCTTGCACACAGCTCGCATCCATATAAACCTGCAGGAGCAGTGCCCGTGGTACACTGAGAGCTCCCTTACCTGGAAGTGGCACCACGTTATCTAGTAAAACTTCTGCTCCTTGGAAAGGTAGTGATAAAAAGTCAGACCTTAAAGAAAAGGGAATCAATCAGCATAAGAACTCAGCTTTAAGTTACTCCTGTATTCTTTAAGGTGACATTGATTAATCAATTGCTCTAACAGGAATTCAGTTTAAAATTGATGTTAAAAAAAAAATCAGACTCTTCTCCCAGCAATCTAAGCAGCAGCAAGAAACTGTCCGATTAGCATGCCAAGCTGGACTGGGCTCCAAGCAAAAGCCACCTCCATAATGGAGGCTGTACTGCTTTTCTTCATCTCTGGGGCACAATCAAGTACTTAATGGGCTTGTGGAAGAAAACTCTCATCCAACACGGCTCTGTGCAACAGGGCTGGCTCACAGAGAATCTGAATCTTACTCCTAACTCATCAACTAACTACACTTTGGGGCCTCCTGAAGGCATCCGCTTGCTCAGCTTCCACAGTAAAGCGGCAGAAGTTGCAATGACCTCTCCCCTGCTCTTCAAAAAAAGCCTTGCAAGAGCTTGCTGTGCTCCCAAGGAACCCACACCTGCTGCCAAGACAAACCTTTCTACCATTTCCCACTTCAGCTGCAGAAAAACCTATAAGCAATTCAAACTGTACAGATGTCTCTGTTGAAGATTCAAGCCAGACATGGCCTCAGGCCATGGAAGAGGAGCTAGAGACCTGATTTGTCGGAGGGTGTCAATCTTCACTTTCTCATATCCTCCATAGTCCACATATCTGAGCTCCACTTCATTGGTCTCTTCAAAGTAGCTAATAACTTGAGCCCGAAACCATGCCCCATCCAGGCCCGGAGCAGCACAGATAATGCCAACTGCAAAACAGAAGAGTACAGAGAAAAAAGGCTCAGTGTAAGTCGATTTCCAGAAATCAGCACTTCAGGCATGAACAGTGCTGTACAGTTATATACTGAAAATCAACAGCACTTCATATGCCCCTTCCGTCTTCTTTCCACACCACCCATGCCCCAAACATCTGCAGCTGGCACACAGGAGAGCTGGGTTTTACTCTCAAGTCTGTCTGCCCCAACCATGCTGTTCTGCCCAAGTATCCAGTTCCCTCCCAGTCTTTGGTCACGAACAGTGAGGTCTGTCTCCAAAAAGGACAGTAAGCGCCATGTGATGCACCCTTCACTTCACACCATGTGCAGACAGTGACACTATGAAGATTTGGAAGTAGTTTCATGCTTTGCCAGCAAAAACACATCAGGTGTCAAAATGATCAGAAATAACCTGAGATGAATTATATCTCATTCTGAATTTCAACGTGCAACTACGTGGCTGGGGAGGTACTTCAGGGATGAGTGGGGTAAGGAAAAGTAGAGCAACATCTGTACTCTGACAGCAGCTTAAAAAAACAGAAGAAGTGACAAGTGAACTATCACGTTCTCATATCCAGCCTAACTCAGGGGTGTCAGGCTTTTTGCATGACCCTAGAAGTTTCTCAGCCGAACAATTTGTGAGCAACCAAAGTGACTTGCCTTCTACTGGAGTTGGCAGGGTTGGAATTTCAGGTTGAGAATAGCAAGCGTACATCTGCTGGTCCAGGCTACGCAGGACGTGGAAAGTGGGGTGTGTATGCTGCTGTAGAAACATGTGCCCTGCATCGACTTGGTTTGCCACAACCACCTCTACAGTGACTCCATCCGGGAGGAAGAGCTGTCATGCGGAGGAAAGAAATTCTCATGAGTGTTCATTGCAATACAAGCTTCATCCACAGCAACTCCATCTTCCACCAGCAACTCCCAAGGCTTACAGCCATGGGTGGAAACGCCCTGGCACTCTGGTATTTCACTTCCAAAGGCTGCTTTGGATCAGGAGCAGAAAGCTACTCACTGTTACTCCATGCTGTTCTAAAGGAAATCACACTTGGGGTGGGGCCCTTCTCATACACAAAAAGACTTGGCACACAGCAGCTGTGAGACTTATTTACCCAAGAGATGAGCAAGCAGAGTCAGAAGTGATATAGGCCAAGTCATGCTGCACTATCAACACAGTGCACCTTGCAAGGATTCCCTGCCCATAGGGTTTTTAAACATTAAGGTAATCTTCACAAGGATTGTCCAAGATTTGTCACAGAGGTCTCATTTTCAAAGTAATTTGCCCTGGCTGTCAGACAGCCATTGTGTTGGGCAGCTTCCAAGTGTTACTGGGCTCAGAACACATCTAAAATGCCTTTAAATTTCCCAGCATAAATTCACTTCTCCAGAACAAAGCCTGTCTCCACATCCATGGAGACAGTTACGTGCACAGTTTCTTTACAGATTCTAGATGCCCAATGTAAGCAAAGAAATGTTTTCTGAGCACCCACATAGCAAAAGCAGCACGAAATCTCTTCTGGAAAACACTGACAGCAGCATAGCCAGCAAGCTGGGACTTACCCAGGCAGTCATAAGGAGGGAATGAAGCGTCAGTGGTGCTGGTGGAGGTAAAGCGTAGATGTTGGTGAGACTCAGCTCTTTGAACTTCTTGCCAATCAGGCTCAGTACTTTTTCTACTTGGTGCGGGGAGCCTGGAAGACAAAAATCCCACAAAGCCTGTAGCACAGATATGCTGAAGACATCCCCACCACGTGACGCAATACAGATACCAGAAGCCCTCTGCGTTACATCAACAACTTCAGTTTTACTAGATTGGCCACATAACCTTATGTCAGACCAACATGAGCAACTTGGACCATCAGGCCCCAGTTTCAACAGCTTTAGCCTCCAGTAAGATCACAGGTCACTGGTAGGTATTTTTCAGCCACAATTAGTCTAACACCCTTCACAGTCAGGACTGCATTTGCTGATACGCATCCCATAGCTCCTCCTTCAAGCCTGAAGTGACCCTGTAAAAGGTTTTGGTTAAACTACAGCAGCCAAAGACATTAAAAATGCATTTTTGCCTCGAGAATAGAGGGTTCCCACGCCAAGGCACAGACGACTTGGCATACACCTCTACTGTAACAGCACTGAGCAGGAAAGTTTTGTAAAGCACAGGACTCACAAAGCCACTAAACTTGTTTAAATTCCTGGCCTATCTAGTTAAGGCCCCCAAGCTACATATTAGACCATGAATAAAGAGATATTCCACTTACCTTCGATGTGACAGACTTGGGAGTCATGGAAATAAGGTAGTGTTGAGACATAAATTTTGGCACCAGATGCTTGCCTCAAGAAGCTCATAAATCTTCCCTGTCTGCCAATCAAGCGTCCAACTAATTCCTTTATGAAAGGGACAAGAAGCAACAGTCAGGAAGAGAAACGCAGATCAAACAACACTGTTCTCTGTGGCTCATTTCACCCACATTCCCAACTCATGTAGCACAGGGCCAGGCAGGATAAATTTAAGATAATGCTGGACCAGTGCAGAGTTCAGCTGGTCTGTGATAAGTCAAGGCAGATACAGGTCAGTAAGCACAGTTCATTTTGATAGAGCCACCTCCATATCTTGCGGAGTGTCACAGAGACATGATGGGACAGACCAGGCCTGGTAAAGGCTACTGTCTTCCTGCAGTCAAGTACAGTCATGTCCTCTCCCAGTCTCCCACTACATCTTTTTGTTTTTAAGCATGCTACATGCATCTTTCATTCAGATATGAAATGCTAAGTTTTAGCAATTTTTAAACAAGCTAATTTGATTAGAGAGTAGACAAATACACAGGAGAGTGAACCCGACCATCATGCTTGTCAGACTACAGAGTCCCTGGACAGCTGTGCAGGGTGATGGAGAGGTCTGTACAAGCACTGTCACTTCTGCTCTTCCACGGGCATCTGTCACAACTTACTGCCAGAGACCAGGTACCAGGGCAGAATTGTTGGGCCAGAGTCAGTATGGATAATCCTGTACAATGTAAAGTTAGCTGCTTTAGGAAAAGTGACAGCCTGTCTTCACTAACCACTGAAACGTATGTTTCTGCTGTAGAAGTGCCTTACCCTGGGTTTTACTGCTCCATTAAAGTCTGTGTTACACGTCTTCACTGGGCTCGCAACACCCAAGCACTCAAGGCAACGCGCTTGTCCTGTCAGAGCTGCTGTCTCATGTTGCTGGCTGTCAGTATTTGGGTCTGCTGGGAAGCAGAACTGCAACAGCACTGCTGGGCAGGACAGCCACAGGTGATTTTACATATACGAAGTAGGGAAGAAGGTATGAACATAGTCCTAAAAACCACAGTCCCTCTCTCAACCCAAAACAAAGCTCACTATAAAGACAGAGCCACAGCAGCTCCACAGAGCAGCTCAGATGAGCATGCAGCTTGTGAGGAAGAGTTGGGACAGGCAATGGAAATGCAACCCTCCTACATATTAGAAAAGAAAATAAAGTAATCCCCTGCTCTTAACTGTGTATCCTCAAAGCCTCCTGAATGCTTTCTAAGCATCAGACTAAGATATTGGGGTGGAAGATAATGGGGAGTAATGAGTCCAACAGCCAGCATTACCCTGGGAGTAGCCCTGGCGTGCCTCTTGTTTACAGTGGAGTATGGCTCTTCACTCCTCTTGAGCCCTAATGGGAGCTAAAGGCTTAAACCCCCATTGATTTGCTGTTGATCTCCCTGGGATGGCACTGAGCCAGCACCAGACTGGAAGAACCGGAAGATGACAACATAGGGCGGGATGCACGAGCAGACCAGCGGCTGGTTACCTTTGGGACCTCTATTTCCCAGATAATGAAGTCAGACTTGCTGGATTCTCCTCCTAGCTTAGAGTTTTGGCGAGTCACTGTCTTCCTCATGGCACAGCCACTGTCCAAAAAATCCACATTATTTTCACCCGAACCTACAAGACATGCACACGTGTCAGCATTAAGGCAACACACACAGTCCAGCGACCAGACACAAGGCCATGAAAATACATCATTTCATAAAGAGGTTACATTCCTATGCATTCAGTCGGGGTGTTTCTGTATCAGGTTCTCAGTATTTCAGAAAGGGTGAAGTCCTGTCACACATAGCCTACTGGAAGTTTCCCTTTATTCCTGGAGAAAAACCTGCACAACTCTGGGAATGTGACAGGAGGAGGCCTGAGTACAGCAGGAGTCCTTCAGACATGGTGACATCTCACACAGCAGCAGAGACAAGACACTAAGTCAGTTACCAGCTGAATGAGAGCTATGCTAACATCAGCACTGAGCTGCTGTTGCAAGGTAGTTTGCATTTTCTCCACTTGCTTGTAAGTATTCAGACCACCCAGCACAAGACCAAAGAGCAAAATAAACCCAACAGCTGCCTCACACTTGCCACATCTTAACTGGTAACACAGCACAGACACTTAGAAAGGCAAAGGCCAACAGTGCAGCTCCTTGCCACAGACTTCCTAGACAAGGATGAGGATTGAAGTCCCACAGTCTGGATATGAAGATCAGCTCTAGGACCTCTTATCCAAGATAGCCATGCTGTTGACTGTCCTCTCTCCCCACCCTTCAGCTGTCGGTGCAGAGCTTGCCGTCACCAGGCTCCACTACACTCTTGTACCTTCTCTTCACATCGGCATTTACAACAAGGCAAAACCATTTTCTTCCTATAGTTACTCTCACTAGGGAAAATGCACTGTGGGTTTAATCCTTAGTTATTGGCAAACTCAACCTCCATGTCTTGCAACAAGCAGCATTCCAACTATTTTGTAGCAATTACAAAAGACAGGATGTCATTAAAGGCTGTTGGCACCACAGGGCCCTAGAAAGAATTTTCACATCCATCCCCAAGGTCACACGGGTTAACATTTGTATTCTGCCAGGCACAGATCATCCAGGATCCGGAGGAACTCCTTGAACATTGCTCCCTGTTGGGATTTCCTGCCATGGATCTACCCTTCCAAGCAAAAAGGCTTCAGGGCAACTGGTCTGCAACCAACTGATTTTATCACAATTCATCAGAGCACTTCCCTGGTTCATCCAGCAGCACCTCAGAAACCTGCCTTACAGCTTCCTCTCAGCAGCAGCCCACAAACACAGATAAGAACCCAGTGCTTACTAAAGGCTGCCTGAACTGAAGCAGAAACCATTTGTATTAACAGGTCCCAAACCAGCAAGGTGCTCAACAGACTGGCCTACACCCAGACACAGTCCATTTCACTGGGTACTCCAGCACATGCTTAGACAGAAAGCTTTGTGCTGAAAGGGGACCAGCCTGTTAACAGCATACCCTGAAGACCACCCAGCCAACACTGGATCCTACAGAGAATTTCAAGAGCAAATGCATACCAACCTGCACATGAGGGCTAAATATTCATCTGCTGCAGAAGTTAAATGTGAAGAGTTTTTATCTGAACATGTCCTGAAGCAGAAGGACTTTAAAAAACTACAAGGATGAAGTGAAA